GGGCGGGCTCTAAGCCTCTGGCTGGCCCACTGGGCGGGCGCTAAGCCTCTGGCTGGCCCACTGGGCGGGCCCTAAGCCTCTGGCTGGCCCACTGGGCGGGCCCTAAGCCTCTGGCTGGCCCACTGGGCGGGCCCTAAGCCTCTGGCTGGCCCACTGGGCGGGCCCTAAGCCTCTGGCTGGCCCACTGGGCGGGCTCTAAGCCTCTGGCTGGCCCACTAAGTGTTGCTTGTTTCTGTTTTACTTGGGCGGAGTATGAGTATTTATGGCTCGTATGGTCGCTTCAGTAAGATTTTGCCATATGTGTTTAACAACTTCTTCTGCTCTGTTGAATCTAAGTTGAAATCTTAATGGGTTTGTAACTGTGCACTGTGTTAGATAATGTTCCAGTGGTCTGCCGGGCATTTCTCCACAGTGTTGACATTTCCTCTCATCTTCCGGAACCTGTAAGCCTATTTCCCATGCACATGGGTATCCAAGCCTGATGCGATGTAAGTGCACTTCTGTCGTTCTACTGCTCCCTTTCATCAAACTAAGTGGTTCGTAGTTGGTTGAATTCTTGTACCAACCCGCAGATCCTGATGTTGCAACTGCTGTGTTGTATTCACTGTACATCTTTTGCATTGCTCTGTTTCGAATTACTTTCTTCATCCGTGATAGACTCTGTGGTATGTAAATGTCTACATTTCTCCTCTTAGTTGCAAGTTTTGCAGCTTCGTCTGCAATGTCATTTCCTATTATTCCCACATGACTTGGCACCCAGTTGATAAGTACCCGTCGGCCTTGTCGTTTGAGTGTGTGCATGAATGATAAGACATTTGTGATCAGATGGATGTTATCACATATGTGTCCTTGTTGCAAGGTTTCAATGGCGGTTCTCGAATCTGTATGTATGATAACATGTTGTCGGTGTTCAGCAAGAGCTGTTCCAAAGCCTTTTGAATGGCTAGCATCTCTGTTTGTAAAGTCGAACACCCATTTGAGAGCCTCCAACTATTCACAGAGTTTCCTGCTTTAACTGCAGCTCCGGTTTCTTGTCCCTGCTGGTCTACTGATCCATCTGTGAAGTAAGTAAGTGTTTGCAGTCTCCGTGGTGTAGTGGTAAGACACTCGCCTGGCGTTCCGCGAGCGCTATGTCATGGGTTCGTATCCTGGCCGGGGAGGATTTACTGGGCGCAATTCCTTAACTGTAGCCTCTGTTTAACGCAACAGTAAAATGTGTACTTGGATGAAAAAACGATTCTTCGCGGCAGGGGATCGTATTCCAGGGACCGTAGGATTAAGGACCTGCCCGAAACGCTACGCGTACTAGTGGCTGTACAAGAATGTAACAACTCTTGTATATATCTCAAAAAAAAAAAAAAAAAAAAAAAAAAAGTGAAGCTGTCGGATGCCATGTTTGCTTCTATATGCATCTGTGCAATGTTACGTAGCAGATGAGGATTTGTCTGGTTCTTCTTTCCTTCAAGAGCCATAATCTGAAAGTCTGCTGGCAGAGATTCCCAAGGGGCTTGTATAACAAAGTCTGCATGTATTTCGTCGACACCCCTCAAGGGGGACATGATCACCACATTCAAGATTCTCAAGGGAATCGACAGGGTTGATAAAGACAGGCTATTTAACACAAAGGGCACACGCACTAGGGGACACAGGTGGAAACTGAGTGCCCAAATGAGCCACAGAGATATAAGAAAGAACTTTTTTTGTGTCAGAGTGGTTGACAAATGGAATGCATTAGGCAGTAATGTGGTGGAGGCTGACTCCATACACAGTTTCAAGTGTAGATATGATAGAGCCCAATAGGCTCAGGAACCTGTACACCAGTTGATTGACGGTTGAGAGGCGGGACCAAAGAGCCAGAGCTCAACCCCCGCAAGCACAACTAGGTGAGTACACACACACACAGTACAACCAGGCCATTACATAACCTAAATACAACTGTGCACCAGGAAGCAGGCCAGATAAACTGATAGCGTAGCTACGTTGCGTGATGGTTATCTTTAGGTTATCTTGAAATGATTTCGGAGCTTTTTAGGGTCCCCGCGGCCCGGTCCTCGACCAGGCCTCCACCCCCAGGAAGCAGCCCGTGACAGCTGACTAACACCCAGGTACCTATTTTACTGCTAGGTAACAGGTACCTGGGTGATAGGGTGAAAGAAACTCTGCCCATTGTTTCTTGCCGGCGCCCGGGATCGAACCCGGGACCACAGGATCACGAGTCCAGCGTGCTGTCCGTTCGGCCGACCGGCTCCCTCGCACCGGCCGACCGGTGATTGACTTAGATACAAACGATTACACACACCTGTGTTACTTGGCATATTCAAGCCAGGTGTTTAACTCAAGGAGGGTACAGCACCCACCTCCCTTGGAGCCCGCAGGCGGGGAACTAAAAATCCGGATTATGAGTAGCTGGAAGATCCGTCGATGCAGAACGATCGCTGATTGGCTGGGAATAATGTTGACATCAGGAAGGCCTACCATTGGCTACTGACAGTGAGCCCAATATTCAACCCATCCTCGAGCCAACTTATCTACTTGGACCCAAAAAATAATTCACATTTTGAGGTATTAATTTTGTCCAAAAAATCTAATAATCAAAATCAAACATTTCCTAGGCCTATTATAGCACATATATGCGCTATTAGGCCTGCGATAGCGTATATTAGGCTTAGGATTGCGTAGACAGGTTTGGGCGGGTCTTTCAGTTATATTTCCTGTGGTTTGAAACAGGCCGTTTGGGCTTATTCTGTAATTCAAGGCGTGAACTGTTTAGGCTCTAACAGTCCATTTTCGTACAACCCAGGGTATGATAGCGGGTCACAGTATGATAACAACCCAGGGTATGATAGCGGGTCACAGTATGATAACAACCCAGGGTATGATAGCGGGTCCCAGTACGGTAACAACCCAGGGCATGATAACGGGTCACAGTATGGTAACAACCCAGGGCATGATAACGGGTCACAGTATGGTAACAACCCAGGGCATGATAACGGGTCACAGTACGGTAACAACCCACAGCATGATAACGTGTCACAGTATGGTAACAACCCACATGATAACGGGTCACAGTGCGGTAACAACCCACAGCATGATAACGGGTCACAGTATGGTAACAACCCACATGATAACGGGTCACAGTGCGGTAACAACCCACAGCATGATAACGGGTCACAGTATGGTAACAACCCGCATGATAACGGGTCACAGTGCGGTAACAACCCACAGCATGATAACGGGTCACAGTATGGTAACACCCTACAGCATGATAACGGGTCACAGTACGATAACAACCCACATGATAACGGGTCACAGTATGATAACAACCCAGGTCATAATAACGGGTCACAATATGGTAACAACCTAGGGCATGATAACGGGTCACAGTTTAACAGCCCAGGGCATGATAACGGGTCGCAGTATGATACCAACCCAGGGCATGATAACGGGTTGCAGTGTGATAACAACCCAGGGCATGATAACGGGTCGCAGTATGATAACAACCCAGGGCGTGATAACGGGTCGCAGTATGATAACAACCCACATGATAACGGGTCACAGTATGATAACAACCCAGGTCATAATAACGGGTCACAATATGGTAACAACCTAGGGCATGATAACGGGTCACAGTTTAACAACCCAGGGCATGATAACGGGTCACAGTATAACAACCCAGGGCATGATAACGGGTCGCAGTATGATAACAACCCAGGGCATGATAACGGGTCGCAGTATGATAACAACCCACAGCATGATAACAGGTCACAGTATGGTAACCCACAACATGATAACAGGTCACATTATAGTAACAACCCACAGCATGATAACAGGTCACATTATAGTAACAACCCACAGCAAGATAACGATTCACGGTACGCAGGCAACACGGCATGATAACAGGACATAACATGATAACACACGCGATAACACAAGTGTTGTCACAAAATAACAGGCAAGATAACACCTGTTCCTTACCTTCTCTCAGCTGTTATAATTGATGGTGATTACGAAGTAATTACCTTCACAAGTACTCCTCCCCCTCTCACCCCTTACTATATAAGGTAATTAGCAGTCTTAATTCATTACTAACTTAGCCTTATTAATGACTAACTTTGCCTAATTATTTACTAATTTATTACTAGCTTTGTCTAATCTATTACGAACTTTACTTAATTCATTACGAATTTGACCTAATTTATTACGAATTTGACCTAATTTATTACGAATTTGACCTAATTTATTACGAATTTGACCTAATTTATTACGAATTTGACCTAATTTATTACGAATTTGACCTAATTTATTACGAATTTGACCTAATTTATTACGAATTTGACCTAATTTATTACGAATTTGACCTAATTTATTACGAATTTGACCTAATTTATTACGAATTTGACCTAATTTATTACGAATTTGACCTAATTTATTACGAATTTGGCCTAATTTATTACGAATTTGGCCTAATTCATTACTAATTTGAACTAATTCATTACTAATTTGGACTAATTCAATACGAATTTGGCCTAATTTATTACTAATTTGGCCTAATTTATTTCTAATTTGGCCTAATTTATTACTAATTTGGCCTAATTTATTACTAATTTGGCCTAATTTATTACTAATTTGATTTAATTCATTACTAATCTGACCTAATTCATTATTAATTTGGCCTAATTCATTACTAATTTGGACTAATTCATTACTAATTTGGCCTCATTCGTTACTAACTTCACCTAATTCAATACTAATTTGGCCTAATTCATTACTAATTCGTTACTAATTTGGCCTCATTCGTTACTAACTTCACCTAATTCAATACTAATTTGGCCTAATTTGGACTAATTCATTACTAATTTGGACTAATTAATTACTAACTTGGCCTAATTCATTACTAACTTTATCTAATCCATTATTAACTTGGCCTAATTAATAACAATTAATAATATCTCTGTCACCTTGGAAATGTTGAGTAGATATTATAATAAATTTTTTCTTACCTCATTGTTCCTGGATATTAAATATGGCCTTTCACTGTAGACGGTTCATGGTTCACTGTAGACGGTCCATGGTTCACAGTAGACGGTCCGTGGTTCACTATAGACGGTCCGTGGTTCACTGTAGACGGTCCATGGTTCACTATAGACGGTCCGTGGTTCACTGTAGACGGTCCATGGTTCACTATAGACGGTCCGTGGTTCACTGTAGACGGTCCATGGTTCACTACAGACGGTCCGTGGTTCACTGTAGACGGTCCATGGTTCACTATAGACGGTCCGTGGTTCACTGTAGACGGTCCATGGTTCACTATAGACGGTCCGTGGTTCACTGTAGACGGTCCATGGTTCACTATAGACGGTTCATGGTTCACTGTGGACGGTTTATGGTTCACTGTAGACGGTCCCTGGTTCACTATAAACGGTCCCTGGTTCACTGTAGACGGTCCATGGTTCACTATAGACGGTCCATGGTTCACTATAGACGGTCCATGGTTCACTGTAGACGGTCCATGGTTCACTATAGACGGTCCATGGTTCACTATAGACGGTCCATGGTTCACTGTAGACGGTTCATGGTTCACTGTAGACGGTCCATGGTTCACTATAGACGGTCCATGGTTCACTGTAGACGGTTCATGGTTCACTATAGACGGTCCATGGTTCACTATAGACGGTTCATGGTTCACTATAGGCGGTCCATGGTTCACTGTAGATGTTCCATGTTTCACTGTAGACGGTTCATGGTTCACTATAGACGGTCCATGGTTCACTGTAGACGGTCCATGGTTCACTGTAGACGATTTATGGTTCTCTTAAGACTTCATGGTTCACTATAGACGGTCCGTGGTTCACTGTAGACGGTCCAGTTCACTGTAGACGGTCCAGTTCACAATAGACGGTCCATGGTTCACTGTAGACGGTCCATGGTTCACTGTAGACGTCCATGGTTCACTGTAGACGGTCCATGGTTCACTGTAGACGATTCATGGTTCATTATAGACGGTCCATGGTTCACTGTAGATGTTCCATGTTTCACTGTAGACGGTCCTTGGTTCACTATAGACGGTCCATGGTTCACTGTAGACGGTCCATGGTTCACTGTAGACGGTTTATGGTTCTCTTAAAACTGTTCATGGTTCACTGTAGACGGTTTATGGTTCTCTTAGACTGTTCATAGTTCACTGATGACGGTCCATGGTTCACTGTAGACGGTTTACGGTTCTCTTAGACTTCACGGTTCACTGTAGGCGGTTCATGTTTCACTGTAGACGAGTTAAGTATGGTTCTCTTATACTGTTCACGGTTGACGGTCCATGCTTCACTGTAGACGGCCCATGGTTCACTGTAGACGGTTCACGGTACACTGTAGATGGTTCCTGGGATACCGGTCAAGGAATGAAAGACTTTGATAAATAATCCCCTACTGTGATCCGCCGCCAGAGACACATATATGTGTATCGGAGATACACATGTGTATCGGAGACACATATGTGTATCCGAGACATGTGTATCCGAGACACATGTGTATCGGAAATATGTGTATCGGAGACACATATGTGTATCCGAGACACATGTATATGTGTGTATTAGGAGCCCTGGATGCTGTGTGCTTTTTCAGCATCCAGGCCTATGGGGCAGATCACATCTCCCGTCTCGTGTGAATGTGAGGTGGTAGGCCTATTGTAAGGGGGGGAGTGTGTGAATGGGAGAGTGAGTGTATGAGTGAGTGAGTGGGTGAGTGAGTGAGTGAGTGTGTGAGTGAGTGAGTGGGAGAGTGTGTGAGTGGGTGAGTGAGTGAGTGAGTGGGAGAGGGAGGGAGGGAGAGCGCGAGACACCCTACCCCGAGGAGCGCGTCGCCAGCACTGACGGTCCAACACCACCGTTGCCAGGTCAACCCCGGCTCATACACCCATATATACAACACCTCATGTATAATACAATACCCCCCTATGTATACTACAACACCCCCATGTATCCCCTACTCTCCCATATTATACATGACCAAATTATGCATCATATCCAAATGAAATAGAGAAAAATCAGTGTACGCATATAATAATAATCTAAACATTTGTCACATGATAGCCTAATATATCAGAACTCTTATATATATTAATATATCAGGGCTATATATATTAATATATCAGGGCTATATATATATTGTTTAGTAATATATTGTGTTGAAGGTTTTTATGCTATGAAAAACTATGTAATTGCTGTTTAAGTTAAGGCTTTTCATTGATTAATTATTGATTCGTTTAGATGAGACATTTCTGGTGTGTGTGTGTGTGTGTGTGTGTGTGTGTGTGTGTGTGTGTGTGTGTGTGTGTAGTACATATGCTCTTGCGGGCATACTCTTCAGTGTGTGTGCGCATACACATAGACGTACATGGGCAGTTTTGTGCGTACATGTGTGTACACGCGCTGTCAGGTATTGAACAGTAAAGTACTCCACAGGTGTGTGAGGCAAGATGTGACGCACTTCACACTGGTGAGGCAAGGTATGACGCACTTCACACGGGGTGAGGCAAGGTGTGACGCACTTCACACGGGTGAGGCAAGGTGTGACGCACTTCACATGGGGTTATCTTGAGGTTATCTTGAGATGATTTCGGGGCTTTTAGTGTCCCCGCGGCCCGGTCCTCGACCAGGCCTCCACCCCCAGGAAGCAGCCCGTGACAGCTGACTAACACCCAGGTACTTATTTTACTGCTAGGTAACAGGGACATAGGGTGAAAGAAACTCTGCCCATTGTTTCTCGCCGGCGCCTGGGATCGAACCCAGGACCACAGGATCACAAGTCCCGCGTGCTGTCCGCTAGGCCGACCGGCTCCCAAGGTAAGGCAAGGTGTGACGCACTTCACACGGGGTGAGGCAAGGTGTGACGCACTTCACACGGGGTGAGGCAAGGTGTAACGCACTTCACATGGGGTGAGGCAAGGTGTGACGCACTTCACACGGGGTGAGGCAAGGTCTGACGCACTTCACACGGGGTGAGGCAAGATGTGACGCACTTCACACGGGGTGAGGCAAGGTGTGACGCACTTCACACGGGTGAGGCAAGGTCTGACGCACTTCACACGGGATAAAGCAAGATGTGACGCACTTCACACGGGGTGAGGCAAGGTCTGACGCACTTCACACGGTGAGGCGAGGTGTGACGCACTTCACACTGGTGAGGTAAGGAGTGACGCACTTCACACGGGTGAGGCAAGGTGTGACGCACTTCACACGGGTGAGGCAAGGTGTGACGCACTTCACACGGGGTGAGGCAAGGTCTGACGCACTTCACACGGGGTAAGGCAAGGTCTGACGCACTTCACACGGGGTGAGGCAAGGTGTGACGCACTTCACACGGGTGAGGCAAGGTCTGACGCACTTCACACGGGGTGAGGCAAGGTCTGGCGCACTTCACACGGGGTGAGGCAAGGTCTGACGCACTTCACACGGGGTGAGGCAAGGTCCGACGCACTTCACACGGAGTGAGGCAAGATGTGACGCACTTCACACGGGGTGAGGCAAGGTCTGACGCACTTCACACGGGGTGAGGCAAGGAGTGACGCACATCACACGGGTGAGGCAAGGTGTGACGCACTTCACACGGGGTGAGGCAAGGTGTGACGCACTTCACACGGGTGAGGCAAGGTGTGACGCATTTCACACTGGTGAGGCAAGGTCTGACGCACTTCACACGGGTGAGGCAAGGTGTGACGCACTTCACACGGGGTGAGGCAAGTTGTGACACACTTCACACGGGTGAGGCAAGGTCTGACGCACTTCACACGAGGTGAGGCAAGGTCTGACGCACTTCACACGGGTGAGGCGAGGTGTGACGCACTTCACACGGGTGAGGCGAGGTGTGACGCACTTCACACGGGTGAGGCAAGGTCTGACGCACTTCACACTGGTGAGGCAAGGTCTGACGCACTTCACACTGGTGAGGCAAGGTCTGACGCACTTCACACGGGTGAGGCAATGTCTGACGCACTTCACACTGGGTGTAGCAAGTTGTGACGCACTTCACACGGGTGAGGCAAGGTCTGACGCACTTCACACGGGGTGAGGCAAGGTCTGACGCACTTCACATGGGTGAGGCGAGGTGTGACGCACTTCACACGGGTGAGGCGAGGTGTGACGCAATTCACACGGGTGAGGCAAGGTCTGACGCACTTCACACTGTTGAGGCAAGGTCTGACGCACTTCACACTGGTGAGGCAAGGTCTGACGCACTTCACACGGGTGAGGCAAGGTCTGACGCACTTCACACTGGGTGAGGCAAGGTCTGACGCACTTCACACGGGGTGAGGCAAGGTCTGACGCACTTCACACTGGTGAGGCAAGGTGTGATGCACTTCACACGGGTGAGGCAAGGTGTGACGCACTTCACACGGGTGAGGCAAGGTCTGACGCACTTCACACGGTGTGAGGCAAGGTCTGACGCACTTCACACGGGTGAGGCAAGGTCTGACGCACTTCACACATGTGAGGCAAGGTCTGACGCACTTCACACGGGGTGAGACAAGGTCTGACGCACTTCACACGGGGTGAGACAAGGTGTGACGCACTTCACACGGGTGAGGCAAGGTGTGACGCACTTCACACGGGGTGAGGCAAGGTGTGACGCACTTCACACGGGTGAGGCAAGGTCTGACGCACTTCACACAGGGTGAGGCAAGGTGTGACGCACTTCACACGGTGTGAGGCAAGGTCTGACGCACTTCACACGGGGTGAGGCAAGGTCTGACGCACTTCACACGGGGTGAGGCAAGGTGTGACGCACTTCACACGGGTGAGGCGAGGTGTGACGCACTTCACACGGGGTGAGGCAAGGTGTGACGCACTTCACACGGGGTGAGGTAAGGTGTGACGCACTTCACATGGGTGAGGCAAGGTCTGACGCACTTCACACGGGTGAGGCAAGGTCTGACGCACTTCACACGGGTGAGGCTAGGTCTGACGCACTTCACACGGTGTGAGGCAAGGTCTGACGCACTTCACACGGGGTGAGGCAAGGTCTGACGCACTTCATACGGGGTGAGGCAAGGTGTGACGCACTTCACACGGGTGAGGCGAGGTGTGACGCACTTCACACGGGGTGAGGCAAGGTGTGACGCACTTCACACGGGGTGAGGTAAGGTCTGACGCACTTCACACGGGTGAGGCAAGGTCTGACGCACTTCACACGGGTGAGGCAAGGTCTGACGCACTTCACACGGGTGAGGCTAGGTCTGACGCACTTCACACGGGTGAGGCAAGGTCTGGCGCACTTCACACGGGCGAAGCAAAGTCTGACGCACTTCACACGGGGTGAGGCAAGGTCTGACGCACTTCACACGGGGTGAGGCAATGTGTGACGCACTTCACACGGGTGAGGCAAGGTCTGACGCACTTCACACGGGGTGAGGCAAGGTCTGACGCACTTCACACGGGTGAGGCAAGGTCTGACGCACTTCACACGGGTGAGGCAAGGTCTGACGCACTTCACACGGGTGAGGCAAGGTCTGACGCACTTCACACGGGTGAGGCTAGGTCTGACGCACTTCACACGGGTGAGGCAAGGTCTGACGCATTTCACACGGGCGAAGCAAGGTCTGACGCACTTCACACGGGGTGAGGCAAGGTCTGACGCACTTCACACGGGTGAGGCAAGGTCTGACGCACTTCACACGGGTGAGGCAAGGTCTGACGCACTTCACACGGGTGAGGCTAGGTCTGACGCACTTCACACGGGTGAGGCAAGGTCTGACGCACTTCACACGGGCGAAGCAAGGTCTGACGCACTTCACACGGGGTGAGGCAAGGTCTGACGCACTTCACACGGGGTGAGGCAAGGTGTGACGCACTTCACACGGGTGAGGCAAGGTCTGACGCACTTCACACGGGGTGAGGCAAGGTCTGACGCACTTCACACGGGGTGAGGCAAGGTGTGAGGCACTTCACACGGGTGAGGCAAGGTCTGACGCACTTCACACGGGGTGAGGCAAGGTCTGACGCACTTCACACGGGTGAGGCAAGGTCTGACGCACTTCACACGGGTGAGGCAAGGTGTGACGCACTTCACACGGGTGAAGCAAGGTCTGACGCACTTCACACGGGTGAGGCTAGGTCTGACGCACTTCACACGGGTGAGGCAAGGTCTGACGCACTTCACACGGGCGAAGCAAGGTCTGACGCACTTCACACGGGGTGAGGCAAGGTCTGACGCAATTCACACGGGGTGAGGCAAGGTCTGACGCACTTCACACGGGGTGAGGCAAGGTCTGACGCACTTCACACGGGTGAGGCAAGGTCTGACGCACTTCACACGGGGTGAGGCAAGGTCTGACGCACTTCACACGGGTGAGGCAAGGTCTGACGCACTTCACACGGGGTGAGGCAAGGTGTGACGCCTCACCCTCACAATGAGTTATTATTATGAATTATATAATGTCATGAGTGCTAATTAAACACAAGGCGTCCTATAGACTCCTCAGTCATATGTAGATGATATGTAGACCTGGTGTGTCGTGCACTATATATATGGCTACAGTGATGATGGGTGTAGTTCACTTATTATGCACCCTATACCCATCCTGTAGGCGGTAGTGGAAAGTGTTACAGAGGCACATAATGGGCTCAGGGACTCTGGAGCCAGATTCACGAAGCACTTACGAACCTGTCCATCTTTTCTCAATGTTTGGCGGCTTTGTTTACAATTATTAAACAGTTAATAAGCTCCGAAGCACCAGGAGGCTGTTTATAACAATAACAACAGTTGATTGGCAAGTTTTCATGCTTGTAAACTGTTTAATAAATGTAACCAAAGCCGTCAAAGATTGAGGAAAGATGTACACGGTCGTAAGTGCTTGCGTAACTGCTTCGTGAATCTAGCCC